CAGCTAATATTAAGGATTACGTTCCTTCGGCCACCGCTGTCCGCACTCAAATCACCCACTCAGTGTTGATTTAGATTACTACAAGAAGTGTTCGACAGCCATTCAGAAAATGAAGGACCTTTCTCCGACTGATTCACGCAACTTTCGGCAACAAGCAAACGTCCATTGCGCCTACTGCGATGGAGGTTACACTCTACTGGAAAATCCAAAGCTGTTGTACGAAGTCCATGTTCCTGGTTGTTTTTTCCCTGGCATAGATGGTACTTATATTTTTTCGAGAAAATCTGCCAGAATTTGATTGATGATGATACTTTCGCTTTACCATTTTGGAACTAGGATGCGCCTGGTGGAATGCAAACCCACCAATGTTCAATTCTGGTGCCATATCACCTCTTTATGACAACCTTTGCAACTCAGACCACTTGCTTGCTGGGTATAGAAGGAGATAATTACGAGAAATACGAGATTTTACTTATGAAATTTAAGGGATTACAAAGGAATTGCTACAGTACTCTTTCTCTAATTTTTTAGAGATTTTTCTCACTTCTTCCACATTCATGACACTAGATAGATACCTTCCTATTTATAGAAAACATTAAATAAACTAGTCCTAAGAACTTATTACAATTACAACAAGATAATAAGTGTATTTTATCATCATTTGCAGCTGTTGAATCTTCAATTCCAGCTGTATTTGAACATCAGACTGCAACTTGAAGATAATTACGAGATTCCAAATTTCATTGTTTGAATATTGAAGTTGAGTATTCAATTTGAATTGAAAATCTTATCCATTTGACTATTCAATGAATCTTCTTTTGTTGCTTAAAGTGTTCAATTTGAATTTAAACTCTTTGAAGATAGATTACAAATTAATCTTTCAATAGCCCCTCTTAATTTGTAATCTTCAAATACATCTTGAATTTCTTGAACTTGTCAATCGTCATTGGCTTTGTCATCATATCGGCCGGTTGATCCTTGGTGTTGACATCTGAACTCCGATCTAGTATAAACAGCTTGCTAACCCCACCTCAGTTAAACATAAGTTCGGCCCACACCCCCAGGTCGGAATTACCCGCCGTTAACTTAGAAAAACATCATGATTACCCCTTGTCACATCACCCTATCAATCAGATACACTTGCCACATATGACGTCATCGTCGCCCGGAACAACCAATTCTAAGTCCTTGAACTCCAGCCCCTTACAGATCATCATTACCTGGGTGATACAATGACACATGACCATCGATTTTTTTGACCAATCGCAGGAAAATTCGGCGACCCGAGTTTCGAGTTCGACACTGTTGCTGATTTGAATGATTTGATGTAATTTTAGCTGAAACTATGTATAAATAGTTGAATACGACCCTTGTAAAGGCAGAGCAAATTCATAAAATGACTTATGGCACAATCACACTAAAATGGCATCTTTGTGATCTTTTCTAAGCACAAATCACCTTTTTTCTTAAAGTTGGTTCAAAATTATCCTTGCTAATTTTGACATCAACAATTTGGCGCTAGAAGGAGGGCCCTTAATTGTGAAAAAATAGTTTCATTTGCTCCATAAAAAAAATTTCAAGAGCCATGAGTCATAGCTCAAGTTCCAAAAATTCATCTCACACCCACCCTCATGAAACGAATATACCACTGAGTTCTCCACAACGGCAGGACCCTCAAATGATCGCAATGAGGGAAGCCCTAGAAATATTGACAAATGCAGTGGGACAACTGAAAAAGAGCCAAGCCCATTTGTCCCCACCAGATACCGAGGTAGAATCCCCGGTAAGGACAAAGGCAAAGCGTCCCCCCCACTAGGAGGACTCTCCACTTTTCAAGAAGAGAATCATCAAGAAGCCAAACCGACGAGGTCAAAAGCAAGGAACCTGAGGCGAGAAGGACTGCAAGTGTGTTCGACAGATTGGGGACCCATCACTCGCTGACCCCTACGCAAGGACAAATCGACCTTGAACGTCCTTTGGAACAAACAGAACCCAAACTAAGCGAACTTAAAAAATGCATCGTCGAACTGGAGGCTAAAAACAAAGGTGACACTAAAGGTTACCAAACCAAACGACATTCCTCCTTCACCGAGGATGTCCTTATAGAACCACTGCCTGAAAAATTGAAAATTTCCCAGATCGGCACATACAAAGGGGATGGTGATCTCCTTAGCCACCTTGACAAATACACCTCGTGGATGGAACTATAGGGGGTAAGCAACGCAATCATATGCTGGGCATTTTCCCTGACTCTAGGAGAAAAAGCCCAAAGATGGTTTAGGAGACTACACGAAAGGTCAGTAAAGGATTGGAATGATCTGGCCACGGCATTCTTGGCCCAGTTTATGGGCTCCAAGGCTAGAAGTGAATCCCACAAAAGCTATCTGACTAGGTTCAACAAGCAATCCATGAAAGTGAAAAAAAATCTGAGGATGCGGCACTTATGGCCGTATTAGCAGAACTATGACCCAAAATGAGATTCTGGTGGTCAGTACACGAGGACGGCCCAAGGACTTATCACAAGTTCCTGAATCGAGCTGAGAACTACATAAGCGCTGAAGAAGCAACCTCTGACCAAGAAGAAGCAAGACGCGAAATTGACCTCAGTGACGTGGTGAAAGAAAAAAAAACCAAACTGCAATCCCCAGCCAGAAAGAAAGAAGGACAGGAGAGAAATAGAACATCCCAGGGCTCAGCCATACAAGTTCGTGGAGTACCACTTGCTCAAAACCTCCTTAGAAGAGGTATTCACGCAAGCCAATACAAAAGAAGCATTTCGCAGACCTATAGTCCTAAATGACGGACAAGCCACACAACGCCAGGGATGATACTGCCGATGCCACAGGACGATGGGCTATGATATTGATAACTGCTGGGATTTAAAAGAGGAAGTTGAATCCTTAATTCGATGAGGTCGTTTACAGGAGTTTATTGCCAAGCCAAAAGAAGTAGATCGACCTACGATGCAGCAGCCACAGTTACAGGGGGCCCCACACGAGCCCAACAGGCGATCCCTAACCGTAACCCACCTCCACATGCCGAAATCAAAATGATGGTGGACAAAAATTAGTATATTGAAGGATCCAGAAGGGCCAAGAGAAGGCAAGCCCGAAGTGCAAAAATAGTGCCGAACTACTGGAATCAAATCCCTAGGGACATTGACCCCGAATCGTTATGGTTCACGGAAGAAGATTCTGAAGGAATCCTCCAAGACTAGAGTGATGCCCTGGTGGTCACAATGATGGTCGCCGGAGTAAAAGTCCACCGCACTCTAGTGGACAATGGAAGTTCGTCAACATACTGTACTCACAAACCTTGAGTCAGTTGGAAATATCAGGTTCTACCTCCAACCGTATCCAAGGAAGCTACAGGGATTTTCTGGGGATCCTATCGAAACCCTAGGTCAGATAGTCCTTAGTGTGGAGCTGGGCGAAGCTCCTCACCAAAGAAGAATCTTAGCGAATTTTGTGGTGGTCAATTTACCGTCCAATTACAATGCAATATTAGGACGGCGCATTTTGCATGAACTAAAGGCTACCAATTCAATTTATCATTATTGCGTGAAATTCCCCACCCCTTACGGGACTAAAATTATCTAAGGGGATCAAGATATTGCAAGGGCCTGCAACGTCGCCCTACCAAAGCCACAAGTCAACATGCTGAGGAGTAGGATGAACACACAAGCTGAGGAAGCCAGACCAAAAAGACCAATCGTTGCAGATCTCTCGGAGATCGTCATAACGGAAAAGAATCTCAAAAAAGCCACAGACGAGCAACTATCTTTTGACGAGAAGGAGGCGGACCCACACCTTTACCACAAAGTTATCGTAATCTCGTTGCCTGAAGCCGGGGTAACCATCCCCAAAGTCTTGGTGGATACAGGAAGCTCTCTGAACATCCTATTTAGCCACACCCTTAAATGGATGGGTATCCCTGCTAACTTTCTTTAACCATACCCAAATATGGTCATAGGATTAAGCGGAGCCTTGACTTCTGCCAAAGGATCAATCAAACTCAAAGTTGAGTCTAGTTCAGCACCTCACCAGTTGAAGACGAACTTCGAGTTCGTGGTGTTCGACACCCCCTCCCCTTACGACGCTGTGATGGGACAGCCTCTACTCTTCAGCCTGAGAGCAGTAGTTTTCCTATATCACTATTCTATCAAGTTCTCCACACCTCATGATGTGAGGGAAGTCAAAGAAAACAAGGAGCTCGCCGAAAGATACCAATGGAAAACATGTGCCAGCCATCAACGCAGCTCCATAGGGGTACATATGGCAAACGTATGGGAATTCGAACTCATTCCCTTAGACACACGGACCAGGATCGAAGGTGAAGAACCCGTAGAAGAACTAGAAGGAGTTCGAGTCTATGCCAAGGACCAAACAAAGGAACTCAAAGTCAGGTGCAAGTTGCAGCCCTCCACCCGAAGCAAGATTGTGGCTTTCCTTAAAGAGAAGCTCGATGTCTTCGCCTAGGATCACAGTGACATGAGAGGAATTGATCCTAATATTGCATGCCACAAATTACAGGTGGATCTTTCAGCTCAGCCAAAGCAGCAAAAATGACGACCTCTGAATCCTAAAAGATATGAAGCACTCAACAAAGAGGTACAAAAGCTGTTGAACAATGGTTTCCTCCATGAAGCGAAATACCCGAAGTGGGTCGCGAATTCGATCTTTGTGAAAAAACAGAACGGAGATTGGAGGGTATGCATAGATTTCACCGATATCAACAAAGCATGCCCCAAAGACAGCTTTCCATTGTCAAGAATAGATCAAATGGTGGATGCCACCGTCGGACATGAGCTACTCAGCTTCATGGACGTGTATTCTGGATACAACCAGATACCGATGTACGGCCTAGATCAGGAACATACCTCGTTTGTAACTGATCGAGGTCTTTACTGCTACAGAGTAATGCCATTCGGTCTAAAAAACGCTGGCACCACCTACCAGTGACTTGTGAATTCCATGTTTTCCCAGCAGATCGGAAAAACAATGGAAGTGTATGTTGACGATATGCTGGTCAAAAGCATCAAGGCCAAGGACCACTGTCAACACCTAACCAAAATGTTTGATATACTGAGGAAGTATGGAATGAAGTTGAACCCAAGGAAATGTGCTTTCGGGGTCAGTTCTGAAAGATTCCTAGGTTACATTGTAAACAACAAAGGAATCGAGGTAAACACTGAAAAAATACAAGCTATCATCCAAATGAAGCCTCTACTCAAATCCAGAGACGTACAAAGTTTAACCGAAAGGGTTGTCGCCCTCAGTCGGTTCGTCTCCAAATCTATGGACCACTGCAAACCCTTCTTCGACACGTTACAAGGTGGAAAGAAGTTCAAATGGACCAAAGAATGCCAGGATGCCTTTAACGAGCTAAAGAGATAACTAGCCCGACCTCCGGTGCTTTCAAAACCTAAGGCAGACGAGGCCTTGAAGATATATTTATCTGTTTCAGAGCACGCCATTAGTGTCATTCTAACCCAAGAAGAAAATGGCGTTCAACATCAGATTTATTACGTAAGCAAATCGCTTCATGAAGCCGAGCTCAGATATTCAACTGTAGAAAAACTGGCATTCACCCTGCTGATGGCAGCGCGAAAACTGAGGCCATATTTCTTGGAACACCCCATTGAGGTCCTGACCAACTCTCCATTGAGACAAATGCTACAAAGGCTCGACACCTCTGGACGGATGGTAAAATGGGCAGTGGAGCTCAGACAATTCGACATCAAATACACGCCTCGTTCCTCCATAAAGGGACAAGCACTCGTCGACTTTGTCTCTGAGTTCTGCAACGTCCCAATTGAAGAACAGCAGAAAGAAACCCCTTGGAAACTTTATGTCGACGATTCATCCACCGGAGAACGATCTGGAGCCGGCGTCGTATTAATCAGCCCTGATCACCGCATGTTCTGTGAAGCCTTGCCATTTAACTTCAAAGCCTCAAATAATGAGGCTGAGTACGAAGCCCTTATTGCTGGAGCAAGGATGGCCTCAGGACTAGGGATCTCCGACCTAATCCTACATAGCGACTCCCAACTAGTCGTGAATCAGGTCAATAGTGTATATATGGCGAAAGAAGACAGGATAGACAACTATCTACGAGTTGTGAAAAAAGAACTTGAAAGGTTCAAAACCACCCAAGTCAAACAAATTCCCCAATCTCAGAACAATCACGTCGATGCATTGGCCCGCCTAGCTACCAGTGAGGAAATCGAGAAGTTCGATAACATTCCCGTAGGAAGAATATCCCTACCGTCCACCGAGCTGGATAAAGTGGTCCTTATGATGATAGACCCCAAACCAACTTGGCAGGACGAGATCATCGCTTACCTGAAAATCGAAAAATACCCCGAAAACTCTGCAGAGGCTAGAAAGCTCCGAACAAGGTCGGCCAGGTACACTCTCATTGATAATATACTATACAAACGGGGATATTCCATGCCCTTATTAAGATGCTTGAACGAAGAGGAAGCCCAGCACGCGTTGCAAGATTTTCACGAAGGAATATGTGGAAACCATTCTGGAGGACTCTCACTAGCCCACAAGATCATACGACAAGGATACTTTGGGTTTGCAATAAGACAAGATTCCTATGAATTTGTCAAAAGATGCGATAAATGTCAACGCTTTGCCCCCGTTATAAATACTCCACCACGCGAACTGAACCCAGTGACAGCATCTTGGCCCTTTACAAAATGGGGGGTTGACCTAATTGAACCCATGCCCGTTGGAAAAGGAAGTGTAAAATCCGCCGTCGTTGCAGTGGATTACTTCACTAAATGAGCCGAGGTAGAGCCCCTTGCCACCATCACCGAACAGAAAATAACCAACTTTTTGTGAAAATCAGTGATCTGCAGGTTCGGCATACCTCACTCCATTGTTACGGATAATGGAAAATAGTTCAACAACACACGACTTTAGAATTTCTACGATGAGCTCGGCTCAAGAAACATTTCTCATCACCAAACCATCCACAGGCAAACGGTCAAGTCGAAGCCATTAACAAGATTATTAAGCACACATTGAAAGCAAAACTCGATCTGTTTAAAGGAGGATGGGCTGAGGAACTCGCTAGTGTGTTATGGTCTTATTGTACTACTGCAAGGACAAGCACAAGAGAAACCCCATTTTTACTGGCTTTCAGCATAAAGGCCGTGATCCCACTAGAAACCAAATTCCTTCGCTGCGCATAACTGATTACGACGAAGAAAGGAACCACATAGCTCTTCGTATGGAACTCGACCTAATCGAGGAAAAAAGGAACAACGTCGAACTCAAAAATGTCGTTTACAAACAGTGAAACGCCAAGTACTATAATCAAAAAGTGCGAAAAAGAGAATTTGAGGTAGGATCTCTCATCTTACGGAAAGTATTCCTCCCTACAAGAGAGATCGGCAGTGGATGCCCAGGTCCGAATTGGGAAGGTCCCTATCTAATAATGAAGGTCCTGCTAAAAGAAGCATATGAACTGGAAGACTTGGGGGGTAGATCCTTACCCTACCCTTGGAATGCCGAACACGTTAAGCAGTACTACCAGTAAACGAAAAAAGTCCCCTTGTAACGTCAATCACATCAATAAAAAGGGACTTTCCATTTCTTTTGAACATTTTACTCGGCAATCTGTCAGAATTTCATAAAGCCCTGCTCCATATGCAGGCCGATCTAAGGTCGTATATGCTGCGACACTTAGTAGAAGGTTTTTCCTGAGGAATCTCATTAAGCCCTGGTCCATATACAGGCCGATCTAAGGTCGTATGTGCTGCGGAATCTCATAAGCCCTGCCCCATATGCAGGCCGATCTAAGGTCGTATGTGCTGCGACACTTAGTAGAAGATTCCTCCTAAGGAATCTCCCCTCCTAAAGAATCTATAGAGCCCTGCTCTTTACGGTTGGACGAGCTAAGGCCGTACATGGTACTACACTTAGTAAAAATGCCCAATGTATATGTCTGGTTCGGAAAATGAGTACTACACAACTAAGCGAGATTCATTCAAAGTAATTCTACACACTATTATAACACTCTTACAATTTTTGCTAAGTCTGTGAGGAAAAGTCGTATTGAACATAAACAATTATCCATTCCAAACAAAATGTCATAAACAGTCAAAACAAAGTTCAAATCGCAAGTCAAAAAAATAAATTGACAAACCAAAATACTAAAAAATTAATGTTTTTTAATCGCCTAAGTGTCTTGGGGGCAGAGGTAGTATCTTCAACATCCTGAGCTGCCGGTAACACCCGAACTCCAGCAGACTTCGATAACCTTCGCAAATCCTCCTTCTGCCCCTCCAGTGCCTCATCCAGAAAGACCACATCAAGATCATGCCTCTCCTTCCTAATGTTCCCCACCAGCTCCTCCAGGGCTACCACGTATACATCCTGGGCCACGACGTCAAACTCGGAGGACTCCTTCCAGGCCTTCACCGCCCTGCCAATCTTGGCCTCAGCCTCTTTAGCCCTTTTTGTGGCCTGCCTCACCCTTTTGTTGGCCTTTTGTACCTTCTGGATAGCCTCTCTAACTTTGCCGCACTCCTCTTCTGCCCGAGCTCTGGCCTCTTCCTCCAAGGCCCTCAACACCTTGATATCCTCCATCAGTTTCTCCTCGACATCGAGCCTGGAGTTCAGCTCGATCCTCATCTGGTTCAGCTTCTCCTCATACTCCTTCTCCCTCAGAGCGAACTGGCTTTTTCAGCCTCCATGCTATTGTAAAGGTTGAATGCCTGATCTTTTGCCTCTATGAGTTTGTCCAGCCTGTTTTTCAAAAATCAAGTAAGTCATTAAAACATTTATAAAATTAATCAAAAATCAAGTAAGAGATATACCTTATCCGCCACTACCATCATGTATAAAACTAATCGGTGGTCATGGAGATGAGCAGTGATCAAAGCCTCACCAATGTGTATCTCGTTCAGATAGCCCTGCTCTCTCTCACCCTAGCTTCGGGTAAGTAGATTGGTCGACTCCCTCAAAGGTGAAGTGAACATTGCAGTCATGCCCCTGGAAGGAGAAGGAGCTCGAAGATAGTCCAAAAATATTTCTGGTTTGTGTCCCACCAGACTTTCCTAGCTCGATCTCTGTAAATCTGGGCACCGATCCTGCAAGTTCACAGAACTGGTCCCGAAAGCAGAAGGAGCAATCGGGGATGGCAACGAGGGGGACGGCAAGGTCGGGCTCAGCAAAGGCACTGCCTCAGGAATTCTCAGTGACGTCGGGGGCGCAGATCGGTTCCTCTTCGACGGAACCTCCTCCTCCACTTCTTCAGAACGGCTCTCCATCCATTCTGGGACTTCTCTCTTTCTCCCTTAGTAACAGCCGCCGCCTTAGCTGCCTTATAGCCCCGTATTTCGTCCTGATGATCTGAGAAAGCAGCGAAATGCTCAAAAAATATGTATATACATAAAGAAATTACAACCGCGAATGAAGATCAAAATATTACCTGAACTGGATGGAGCCGAACTTCAAGCTCATACTTGCAGCAATCCGGCCCGGTATAAGTTCAAATCTGAGATTACAAACTTACAGGACCTTTGCTTTTTAGGTAATGATCTTATTTCCTTAGCTCGTCTCTGTGTATCTTTTGTTAATGTCTCCTTCTTGTAATCTGCACAAAGAAAAAAATACCGAGGTCAGCACTTCGTCAAACATACATCTTGCTAAAAGACTAAAACCTAAAAAGACACTTACATAATGAATGATAGAGCCTGGGAACCACGTCTTCCCTATTCACCTCGGCAGAATGAAACTGCCACTCCCCCGATACATAAAACCATTCTTCCTTCCATTTCTTAATTGAAGAAGGGGTGTCTAACACCAGAGAACCTCTCGTCCTAGGCCTAACACTCGTGTACCACCAGCCCGAGTTCTTCACATCCTCCTTAAAAGTAAACAGAGAATCGAACTGCTGGACACTTAGCTTAGGATTCCCCATTTGGTTCCACAGAATAAGGGTGGCTATTAAGGTTCGCCACCCATTAAGAAAGGAATTTACGAATCACCCTAGGAAAAGGAAGCTTAAGGCCAGCTTGAAGGATAGCCAAGTTCAGAGCAACACATCTCTCAGGAGGAGTGTCAGCTCAGTCAGATGACTCTGGTATTATCATAACTACCGAACTAGGAATGGCGTATTTAGCTCGCTAGCTGGCTAACACATCCCCTGTCACAACCGACCTAAAAGAGCTTGCCCCCCACTCCCCGAAATTACCTCCTCAACATCCTTACTAGATCTACCTACTCCCTTGGAACCCTCACATCCTAAGTTTATCACAGGATGCCCTAAGTCAGTTGGGTTAACTATCGAAATGGGAATGGGGTTAAAAACTTCCCTACAACTAGAAGACAAACTCGACGAGAAAGAGGCAGACTCTTCCTGCTAGTTACCCCAAGAATGAACTCTAGACTCATCCGAACTCATTTATGAACTAGGAAAAGAAGCACAAACTGAAAGGAGGTAGCAGATAAGAACAGAATGATACCTGGGAGATGAACTGGGAAAACGACCTCACTCGAATACGGGAAAACAAACTTAGGAAATCGCCCAAATAGTTGAGATAGTAAAAACCAGTGAAATAGGAATAAAAATGATTGACCAAAAATGGATTTAAAGAAAGGAAAGATGAGAGGGCACTATATGAGCCGTTCATCCAGAAATAGGGAAAAAATATCAACGGTCCAAAAGTCTAGGAGACAAAACGAAGTAGTTTTGGCCAAGCTTGCTGAAGAAGATACTTATAAATGGCGTACAGCTCATCCACCTCAAAAGATGACACTTGTCACAGCAATAAATGTACTTCTTGGAGAAAGCATCACTTAGGTCAGTCTCCCCTACGGTAGAGCTGACCTGGAGGGTAACTGTTGACATCCAAACTCCGATCTAGTATAAACAGCTCGCTAACCCCACCTTAGTAAACGTAAGTTCGGCCCACACCCCCATGTCGAAATTACCCGCCGTTATCTTAGAAAAACATCATGATTACCCCTTATCACATCACAGAAGATGTCATCGCCGTCCGGAACAACCAATTCCAAGTCCTTGAACTCCAGCCCCTTACAGGTCATCATTACCTGGGTGATACATTAACACATGACCACCTACTTTTTTGACCAATCGCAGGAGAATTCGACGACCCGAGTTTCGAGCTCGGCACTGTTGCTGATTTGAATGATTTAATATAATTTCGGCTGAAACTATGTATAAATAGTTGAATAGGACCCTTGTAAAGGCAGAGCAAATTCATATAACGACTTATGGCACAACTACACTGAAATGACATCTTTGTGATCTTTTCTAAGCATAAATTTTTTTCTTAAAGTTGGTTCAAAATTATCCTTACTAATTTTGACGTCAACAGTTGGTATTTATAAACTCCATGCAAATTTCTTCTCGAATTACCAAATCTCTTATAAAGTGATGTTGAAATTCAATATGCTTTGACCTAGCATGGAAGACTGGATTTTTTGTCATCGCAATTGCTGACATGTTGTTGTAATAAATTGTTGTTGGTCCTTCCTACTCAAAATTCTTCTAAGCCAAACAGCTTCGCAAGATGAATCTGTAGCTGCGATGTACTCTACTTCGGCTTATGATAAATCAAAGGATTTCTGCTTCTTTAAGCTCCAGGAAATCACATTTGATCGAAGGCAAACGATATATCGAGAAGTGCTCTTTGGATCAACAACTAATCCAGCCCAATCAGTATCTGTATAGCCTACAAGTTTGCAATTATTCTCCTTTTTAAACTCTATGCCATGGTTTTTAGTTCCTTTAAGGAATCTCAAAATTCTTT